ATTCACGCACCGATTTCATCCAGGTTATTAAAATAGAGGAGGTTATCACTCATTAACATGCATGTAATCATTGTGATGGTGTAATGAATGCTAATTCTCAAAATCATGAGAATCCTAAGGTTTACTAAAACCAATCACGGTCGATTAACTTTTCTCAGAGATTTGGATACATATATCAGCTACACAAAAAGATAGGACAAATGGCTGTCTCATAAACTTATTATATGGAAAGAAAAGAGATGGGAGCGTTGTTAAACGTTCATAGGGGGGTTATCTGCTGCTTACATTTTGAAAAGTTATGCCTTTTTCAATCATTTGAAATAGAAGCTGATTTATTCTGAGCAAATAAAATAATCAAGATTGATCACAAAAGGTTTCTTGGAGTATGACGAAACATGTTCATCGAGTCATAAAGAAAAGAAGAGATAATTCAGCGAAGAAACTTTTCTGATTCGACGATTTCATTTTATAAAGCTGTACAATTGTATTTATATATATCATAAACATGTAACAGTTTCAGTGACGCTTTTGAATTCAAGACTGGAGTAAGACAGGCCTGCCTACTGTCACCGATCATGTTCCTGATTTTATTCGAGTGGATAATGCAGCAAACCGTAAGAAGCGAGAAGATGAGCATACCCGGGCTGGACCGATGAAAAGGCCTTAGAAGATTTGGATTTCGCCGATGATTTGTTTGTAATATCGCACAAACTCGAAGATCTACATGCGAAAACTAACAAGTTAACAGAAGGGGTAACGAAGACGGGACTTCCTTTAGGTGAACGTAGAGGAGAGAGATGTAGAGGTGATAAAGATACCCAACCAACGACATCAACAACGACAACAAGAAGAACCAATCACCATCAAGGGGAGAAACTTAGAGGAAGTTATCGCTTTCATCTACCTACATAGGCGGCATCGTTTCAACTAAATGCGGTGGCGGCACAGATGAGGATGTCAAAGACAGGGTCGTAAGGACAGCAAGACAGGCCTTTAATAATCCGAAATCAGTGTGGAGATCTACTTCACTGCACTCAGGATAAAGTGTGAACAACATCCCGATTTTCAACACTAAGTCAGTCAAGTCAGTACTTCTATATGATGGTTGAGAGACTTAGCGCGTCACGAAAAGCATTTCTAACAAACTACAGACATACATCAAAAGCTGCCTACGCTGGATGCTGAAAATCAGATGACCAGAAAGAATAAGCAACAAGAAACTCTCGCCTGCTAACGAACCAACCAACCAAGAACCCATCGCCCAACAAATATGCAGAGTAAGAAAGTGGAGATGGATCGGGCATACACTGAGAAAACCATTCGGAGACATCACTCGTCAGGCCAGAACAGGCCGTCGAGTGGAATCCAAATGGGAAACGACGAGTTGGGTGTCCGATGTGAGGGTGACATAAAGTAGATCATTTGAGGTAGAAATGATAGGTTGTTGATAGTTGTGGAGCCAGGTTGGAAAGACTGAAGAGAAGAGAGTGGAATGCAGACGTGCTACTGAAGCCCTATGTTCCACTAGGAGCCCAAGGGACAAATAATATAATAATATTCATAATAATAATAATGTAACAGTTTATTGTTAACCAGTAGGTTATAACTGCATCATTAAGCTAGCGCTGAAATCATGAATGGAAAGTGGTAATGTAATAATCCTTCGGACAGTGAAAATGACGAGATAGGTAAGGAATCTGACACGGTGAAATTTATCGGTGGATATGAAATTCAAAGTTCGAGCGTATATAAAGAAGGTGAAGAAAAAACAAGGGTCATAATGAAGGACTGACTGTGTAAATCGCTGAAGAAGACAATCTTCTCTGCAAAGCTACAGATCAGGTTTTTTTGTAGTCAGTAATCGGTCCCGGGTTGTGTTAAGGACAAGTTGCCACATTGAGTCACCTTAGCGTGTGTCTAGCAATTTACTCGCTACTGTAAAGCAAGTTATGTGGGCCACTTGAAGTGTGCACTTTTCAAACGTAACTCTGAGTCCTATTCTGCATAGTTATCAGGGGGAGAATGTAAATCAACTAACGCTTCAATTCTTGAACATTTGGTTAACTCTTGAAACATAGATCCACTAGAGTCCTCCTTCGGTGTCATTTAAACGGTCAAAGGGGATAACTCAAAAAGGGCACGGTAGATGCACTGACGATTCACCAATTCAAGCCTTATATCTGTGGGCAGAAGAAGTATGTTCAATCTTTTATCTTACTATGGTCATAACACTTCCACAGTTTTTCGATTTTATTATAGTTAAGGCGTTTTACTATTATCACCTACATTTAAACCCTTGTTTCTTTCTTCACCTTCTTTATATGTATAAAGTGGACGCTGGATCTTCGCATTTCATGTCTACCAAAAAAAATTCCACCTAGTCAAACTCCTTACCTTACTCATTATTTTCAGTGTCCGAATGTTTATTACCCAACTAGTTTCCATTCTTAAGATTTTAACGCTAGCTTAATGATGCAGTTATACCCTATTGTTTACCAATAAACAGATATATATTAACGATATAAATAAGATTCTACGGTTTTATAAAATGATATCGTCGAATGGGAAAATTTTCTTCACTGAATCATCTCTTTTTGTCTTTTGAGGTGTAATGATGTGTTAACGGTTTCATCTATCCCCCATAATATTCTTGAAGTTGTCGATGGAAAGTTCTAAGACCTGATTGGATGAACAGTTTTCCAACCATAGCTTCAAATGATGCAAAGGCTATTCATCTATGATATTGTTTGCTTGAAGGGAAATCTTGCCGTTATCATATCCCACTACAGTCAACAGTGAGACTTTAGCCTGTCACCTTATCATACCATTAAAAATTCATACCATAACAGTATCTCTTTTTATATTGGTCAGTGTACCTTCAATCTTGATCCTGTCCAGTTTGAAGGTAACAGTCATTTCAATCAAGATAACTAGTTAAGTTATCACAATATACAATCATTTTCTTCATAACCATATTAATTTAGCGAGTGTTAGTCAAAGGTGGACGAAACGAAACTCGGCAACTACGTGCATATTTATCCACCAGGTAGTGGACCGCACGTATTGCATAAGGGATGTTGGTGGTAACTGGTTGCTCCAAGGAGGATGAGAGATTTATAGTTGAATACATATTTGTTGAATTAGCACCACATACATTGAATTAATATCACTCTGCACATGTTCAAGATTCCTGAAGGCTTTTTCCTTTGTTTACTTTGAAAAACCATTGGATATCAATGCTCAAAGTTATCTGTGCACATGATTCTGTAATTGTGGAGGATAAATGTCACTCTGAAATCATATGTGGTATATAATATATTTGTTCCTTATGACTAGGAAATATACTGAACTACAGTTTTCAGCTTCTACTTAAATGATATTGTAAAATTCTGTATCATTTTACGGGTTGTTATGACTTGAGTATCTCCGTGTAGTGTATTAATTCAAAAAACTTGAGCTAGGATTGTGATCCTACCAATATATCTGGTTTTTGTAGTTAGAGGTGATTAATAGATGCATCACACAGTGAAGGAACAGTATTGTTTACTGGATTACGTTTCGGACACAATTTATTGTCCATAGTCATATCAGGTTAACTACACAACTTTAAGGCATGAATTATGTAGTTTTATTTTCCTTGCCTCCTTTGTAATATGGGTAGTAGGACTTTCCTTGTGTCCGGAACAGGTGATGAGTCATTCCCGTTACTGCATGTATTAGGCGTTGGTTGATTCGATGAACAGAGATTCAGTTATCAATCTCTCCGTCCACCCTGCTATGTCAGTTTTAAGGGTTTTCACCCTGTCCCATCCTTTTGTGTTGTGTGTAACCCCATACATAGCTATGGCTGATTTTTTTTCTAGATTCCCTACCTTGGTAAGATCTAGCGATTGTGACCTGGTTAAGATTTTTCACTCAGACAGCCTGACTGACCCCGGTTGACTACTTTGACTTATGTATTTGACCTTGCAATCGTTGCATGGGATTCTTTAAACTAACTTATTTACCTAGTTAGATCAATAGGATCTTTTAACCTACAAAGCCCATTTCGAAGTGAGTTTTTAGTTTTAAATGGCACTGTAATTCCGACCAGCCTAATTGAGAAATCCTATGTAATGTTTCTGAGGTACCTTCTTTGTACGGTAGTACTGTTAACGTTGTGAATTCTCTCTTCACAGTATTGCCACTATTATTACCAACATTACTATTACTAATAACATCTGTGTTATTAATATTGCTTATATTTTTTCTTTCAATTTCTAAGGAACTTATCAATTAATTTGGTAGGGTAATCATTGATGTGAGTAAAGTGCCTTTAATGTATTTGGTTTCTTGTCTTAGATCTGTTTTTGACCCTGTTACCTAGACAATGTAGTAAACCAACTTTAACTAATATACGGTGAGACGATTTGAATGTGAAGGTTTCTCTGTAAACACTAGTGTCCCATCTTGTTTTCGTTTTATTCTGTATTCTAATATCGTTAAAATTTCCCTTCACTATTTTCTAATTCATAGGTGAAAATGACTCACTAGTTAGAATCGTATCGTCTAGACTTATGAACCATGGATATAAAAAGTTTGTTTGTTATTTGTTAACCCTTATATCTATTGTACTGATCCGATTGTCTGGGATAAGTTGAGTGTACGGGATCGTAACTTGATTTTTCAACTTTATCACTGTGTGAATTAGGTGTTAAGGGTGACTAACATGAGAAGGCTTCATGTTTTCAAGGATGGTTGGTTTACGTAACACTATTCACCTGTTGTAGAAACATCACTTAACCAATGCGAAGGTGATATGTATGATTCTGAACAATTTTCCTCAATGAAATTTTAATCCTACACTGATGAAAGTTGTTGAACCACATTCTTCATATATTCGCTTGTGCATAACTTTCAAGAAGTTGTAATACACTTTTGTAGACATATTTGACAGTATGCATAAAATCTTTGCTCACTTGCTGACAATTGTATTTGTTGCTTCTTGGTTTATTATACAGATTTCACGTCCTAACCAAAGTGTACAATCGGAGAAGTTCAATAATCTGATTAATTCAATTCATGCAAGATTTCGTCGACGTTGTTCTCTAGATGAATCAGTTGATGAAAAAGATATGAAAGATATACATAATACAAAACAACAAGTTGCTGAAGGTAAGGAAATATTTATTTTGAGATGATGGAGAATATTTGTAGGTCAGGAGGATGATTTTGACGATGTTGTATTCTCTTAGCTGGATGGTTTAATCGTGTGTATTTTTGGTCTACCATAGCAGTGTGCAAGAATTAATCAATTGAATCTTAATCACTATTTCTCTTGCTTTGTAATTTGTTCCACTTCGATGAGTTTGTTCAAGATAGTCGTGATGTGAAAATTAAATTAATTGATATACATTTCGATCCATGCTGGAAGATTTGATGAATGCTCAATAGTTTTTATTGTTAGTAAAGATTGAGAAATTGCATTGCATGTGAACTGTGATACTTATCGGTTACCAAGACCAAAGTAGATGATTGTCTTGATAGACCGCTACCTGAGCCTTTAACTTGACATCTTATCCACAAGACAACGGAGCAACTTAAGGTGCTGCATTCCCATGGTCACCGATAATCAAGATAGGTTCCAACGTCATCTTTTCGTCCTGGATGGTGGCGTTCATGTACACTACTTGTTTGGAGTTAGGTGTACTGTCTATGCACACCGATCCGGTTGTAGTACTGAACTTTCGCTTTTACTCTCTTATTTTTATGGAAATACCCACCGCCACTTGAAGGGAGTAGGACTTCTATGACAGTCCATAAACGCTGGCTGTATGAGAGGGTTTTTAGGAGCAATGGTATCATTTTACGCGCCAGGGCATGTCTTTTGACGGGGTGGTGCGTGGGGGGTGAGTTCAACCTGTCGTAATCAGCTGATCCTACTTATAATTGTTCTTATTCAATATTGTTGAATTTCGTAAACTACCTTCAGCCATGTAGCCATCTGCTTATCAGTTTTTACCAGTACTAGGTTGAAACCATCTGGATGATTGCTTAAGAGTTCATCGTAAAATTGTGAGTACACTCTGTTGATATGTCTGAGAAGGAAGCGACATGTTTTTAGAAGTGCTTCATGTTTTGTTGAATTGTAAGTTACAGGTTAAAGTGTTCGATTTTCAACAAATGAGACACTGGTTTCAACTATACTCCATCCGCTGAGATTCAAACAATCAGTTAGTATTTTAAGTTCTTATGGAATTAGTATAAGTGTAAAACTTGGGCACTGTGGTAGAATGTAATTCCATATTAGATTTGTTTATTTCATATATGGCGCACAGTGATACAGTATTATTTACTTGATTACGTTTTGAGCATAAATTATTGCTCATAATCATGTCAATGATATGATTATGACCAATAATTTATGCTCGAAACGTAATCAAGTAAATAATACTGTATTACTGTGCGCTACATATCTTATGGAATTAGTTTGCATTGGAGTCTCGTACACAAGCCTGTACTTGATTATCCATGTTAACAAATAATCAGATGAAAGTAAATGCTAGTTGGTTGGAGGCCATCGGCAGTAACTTTGGACCTAGGTTCCGTGCTTTTCTGGTTGCTACATTGCAAATATGATCGATAGAATTCGGTCTGCACTCAGGACTAGACAACATGAAATTGGTTGCACTCCCGTGACCAACCAATACATAGAAGTAAATGCTTTCAGTTTGGTTTCATAAAATGTCACAATCGAGAGTTACTGTAGTTGCAGCCTGATATGATATGTTTATCCAGCTATTTTTAGTTTTTAATGCCATTGCAATTAATTTTATTTCGGGGTTAAAACTACTTTTGACAATAGTCAAAAATTGAACATAAAGTCTAGAGGTGAGGAACATCATTTTATTATTCTGATCTCATAATCTTTCATTGTGGCTAACTCGAATTAGCTACCTAATTTTTACTATTTTCTCCAGTCAGCATAGTGAACAGTGTAGTTTGATGTTGGATGGGTGAAGAGTATCTGTCAGAAGCTTGAGACTTAGGTTTCATGTATATGTTGGCACTTGTTAGGAAGGCGTATCTATCAACTTCATAGAAGATATGCCCACTTTTGAATTTGAACTAGTGTCAAGCATAACTTCAGTTAGAAAGAGGTACTTGCACTAATCTATTTTAGACAGTATAGACATGTATTTATTCGGTTATTCGTCTGCACGACTATCATACTTGTCTTCATTTTCGTCTTTTTGGTTGTTGTTTTTGCAGCTGTCCTTAACTCTGTACTCTCGATACGTTTAATGCAAACGGAAGAAAGTAATTCATTGTTGGATTATGTAACCGATTGGCACGAAGGTGTGTATTTAATTTGTTTCTTTTTTTTTCGATAAAATGTCAGTATATATATTATCAAAAATTTATCGAGTTGAAAAAAACTGTTGAAAATCATGCACTAGTTCAGTGTCACTTCTTACAGATTTTCCTTGTAGTGACACATATTTTGGTGTTGAATTCAACGTGCTCTTGCTGTTCAGCTGTAATCTATTTGACTTCATATTTATAAAAATTCTTTGTAAGAAGTTTTGAGTGACATTAAAGTTCACCTTAGTCATTTGGATTTCTGGGTTTGTCTGAATGGGAGTCATCATCAATATCAACGTAGGACCAGGCATTACTGTGTAACGATCCGAGTTGCCACACCTCATATCAGTAAATCAAGTAAAAAGGCAGTGAAGTGCAAGATGAAGATAAGGAAATTCAGTGAGAAGAAATATGAAGTATGAGAAGAGAGAAAGGAAGAATGAGAAAATGGTGATATTGTGTATGGCGTTGTTGAGATGAGGATAATGTGTGTATACATCTGAGCCAGTGACATGGATTGTGAGCCATGTGATCACCTAGAGTCAGTCTCAAACCAGTGATTCCACTTGTCCAGTGGACCCCAACCACCTAATCTGCATCACCCCACATGGCTGAAACCAACAGTGAGAGACTTCATGCATTGGTGCCATGTTTTAGTCTGGTCACCTCGGGCTTTTTTCCAGTCTGGGCCTACTTCGTCCAACATTGTGTGACGAGGCAGTCGGCAACTAGGCATACGTAACGCATGTCCCAACCATCTGAATCGATGAAGGTTCATAACCTCGTCTACTGATTTACCTCTTCTGCCTAAAACTCTGCACTTGACTTCTGCATTACTCACGTGGTAACACCACGGAATACGGTGTATACTACGAAGGCAACGGTGGTCAAACACTTGAAGCTTTCTCATGTCTTCCACCTTGAATGGCCATGTTTGAGAGTTGTTACAAGCAAAAAACTCGACATACATATGTCTGTATTTCTGGGCCTGAAATTTACTTATCTTCAAAGTTGTTAACATTTCATCTGGTTAGTCTTGTTATTCGATTCTAGCGTAAGATTTCCTCTGATACATCTATCTGATGTGTATGTATATGGTGTATATGGTATTTCGTTTTAACGAGAATTCCCCCCATAAAACCTTTTGTAAATTAACAAATGCTAGTGGGAAAGAACGCGAAACTTCTAGGAACTGTATAAACCCTAAATATCAGTAGGGTGGATAAAGTAGATACTGCGTATTCACCAAAGAACACAAACTGGCAGCTTGAAATGTACAATACTTTATTTCTAATGTGAATATAAACTAGAATATATAAGAATAAAATGGACTGAATTATGGCGTTAGTTGTTGGCAGTTATTCGGCAGGAAACCATTGACTTGTGTTTTGTGCTTATTTTTATTTGTTAACAAGGTGCGCTTACAACCATGGGGAAATGATGTCCCGTCGACGTTTTGAACCCATGTCACCCAGTCATAATTTAAATAGCTGACTGCTTAAATCTTTGTTTTCAGTATTGAGTGAGGTGGGTTGGAGTCATCGGAGTACGCGTTGGTGACGAGTGCCAGTAATGCGCGAAACATAGGTCCACGGTATCCTGTGGTTTGAATACCGACAATTAACACCATAATACAGTGCACCATGGTGTCGTATCGCCCAAATTTGCTGGTCACGTTGTAAAGTAGGTCAATACACTTCTGTTAGTGCTAAGCACTGATAACTAGACAGCTACATCAATTACCTGCTAGTAGCCAATTCGTGTAAACTAGACTGAATTAGATAGAATTCGTCGTGCAAACAATGGGAATCAAATCAGGTGCCTGCAGAATGCACAGTCCAGTCGTTTGGACAAGTTAACTTTCTGAGCTGAATCATTCTGGGTACATAACTAATCAGCTAGGTCCCAAACGAGCGAAACGACTATTCGTTGGTTAGATCACTGTGATCTGGCTAGTGAGAACTACTGAATTGTCTACAACTATTCATATCAGCAAGTAGTGAGTTGCGCATGACTTCGATAATGTTTCCTCATTTGGATCAGATGATGACTTATTCAAAGCTTGATTGAATGGACATCAAAAGATCAAACCTTTTACTAGTAATTCGCAAGCACTAAATAAAACAGCTTGTTACTAATATAGGTAAGAAGTAAACTTTTGTAGCAGCCGCTAACAGGTTCATTCACTTGTCAATGGGCTATATTTCTTGTTCCAGGACTTGTTCAAAACTTCCATCTCCTGGTTGTTGTTCTACTGCCTAGATCAATGAGCCGCAGTTCCATTTACTCCTGTATGAAAAGGGCAACTGTAAAAAAGCATAGTCGTGAACTATCTATCAGATGTTGGCTATTAAATCAATCAAGAACAGTGCAAACTATCATTTAGGAGGCAACATATTTCGACTGTAGGGCTGTCAGTTCTGACAACTGACCAATGATACTGACACATAATAAACTAAACAGTATGACTTTTAGAGTCTAAAAAAATATTCGCGACGGTGTTTTTTACTTCTTTTTATCATCTTCAACATCCTTTTATTATGGTCTGAAATAGATACAGCTGTATCGCTTTTAAAATTCATATTCATCTCTGACTGACATCAGTTGGAGAACCATGGAAAATCTGAGGTCACTGGCCAACTGGTTCATCCTAGTATAGGACTCTTCGGTGCCGTGCGCACCCATGACCTTGCCTTGCTACGGATCGAACTCAGGATCTCCAGCTTTCATGATAAGCGTGTTACGATTGAGTCACTGTATGGGGATTCAATTGTCCAGGTTCTTCCACCTCTGTCAATTCGCGACATAGCGTGACCTTCATCCAGTGCCATTGTTGAGTATTTGTCCTGACGTCCGACTTGGTTTGCCTCATAGATCACAACTTCTCATTAGATCTTCAGGGAATCTTATCTTGAGAAGCAAGTCACTAGTGAGCAGTGGTCAGTCTTCTTTATACCATCGACTTATGTAAATGTGGTAAGTTTTTTTATCCTCTCCGCAATTGGAACATGCATTAGCTTACAGAATAAGGTGCTTTCAGGTGGATCACCACAGTGCTTATCGTTTGTAACAATAAGTTCAGTGTTAGTTACATCAGGCACAATTAGACATTCGAAGTAAAATATTTTTCCATTCCTAAACCCATTTTATGATACGAAGTCATAAGCACTACTAGGACCTTTACTGTGAATCGTCGATTTACGTCTTTGAATGTTATTGTTAGTCATCAGAACTTGGTCTGAAGATCGATTAGATTGCTGAAGAAATTGCAACACAATCAACATCCTTGTACACGTTCATGCAACAGGCAATGAACCACACCTATTGTATGAGGGCTAATGATACTATCTGGCCCCTCAAACCTCGTAAGGTGACGTCGGGTTCGAACCCATGATATACTAATTGAATGTTAACTGCTAAACCAGTGAGCCACAGCTCCATAGTTACTTAAGAGAACTTGGGTAGATAGAAACAACTGTTTACTGCTTCACGATGTAGGTGACGCTAAGTTGTGGGGAAAATTGTGTTTTTAAAAATTGACTGCCTATGATTATTATTTGCCACTATTACTGATTTTATATATTCTCAATTTTCTCTTTATAATAGATTCTGGTCCACTTTCAATGTTACCAGTCAACGAACATGTATTAGTGTATCTTCAGAATTACGATTCCAATCAAGTAAGTTTTTGACATCAGAATAAGATATTTATTATTTGTATATGCTTCAACATTTTCAGCATTGTTCACGTTTAGTGGAATCATTGTGTGAGCAGTGTTGAGGTCAGGCGAAGAGTACTAGGTGGCAAGACAGGCAAGGCGATTGGTGAGGTTGTGGACCCTCATTGGCTGAGATAGTTTGGACATGTAGTGCACATGCTGAGCAAACCACCGCCTACCTTGACATGCAATGCTAAGGGAAGCTGGATTGGTTTGTTAGAGGGTTCAGGGTGGTTAGACCAAGATGTCGAAACAGTTCACAATGTCAATGAATGTTGTTCTGAGCCGTGTTGGGGTAATATAGACCGTTTGGTTAGGATCCCGGAGACCCTAGTAATCAGTGGTTGAGGACTGGTGGTGACATAGTTGAAAATCGATGACAATTGCTCAGATGTATTCACTCCTTGACATCTAAGGCTTTCATGTTGTCATTAACTGTTGTCTTCAAATTGGTCATTCTCTCACACAACTCTGTGTACTTTGATATCACTCTTCTTCTATTCACTTGTCCTGTATATACTACTGTGAAGTTTGACGAGTGGAACCGATAGACGTGTGTTCGAGGTTCCACAGTGATTTTATCAGTCAGTCAGTTACTAAGGATTATGAAAGTTAAGGATATTTTTCAATGTATGTCTATCCCATATAGTTTTTCTGAATACCTAGAATCGATAGAAGTTCATTTTCATATCTTCATGTGCATACAGTATCAAAACCATATGGTTAGGTGATTTAGTCGTATATTCACCGAGAAAGACTGTCAATGATTAACGTTAAGATTTCTTGAATATAAATAAATGTATGGTGACATTATTGATTTCGGAGCTCATTAAAAGCTAACTTAAGGTCTTACATAATTGAGTTCAGTTGCTGCTGTTAGTGGAGTTGTGGCTTATTAGCTTAGGATGTTGACTTTCAACCAGCGGGTTGCGGGTTCGAACATCGTTCCACCTACCGAGGTTTAAGCAACCGAGTAATCACTAAGCCTCACACAATAGGTGTGACCTGTGGCTTACTGCACAAACGTGTGTACAAGGTTGCTGAGTGGATTTCGATTTGACTCGATGTCATCATTCAAAGTTGAGAATAAGTGAGAACATCAAGGAAATATTAACAGTCCTGGAAAACCATACGATGAAAGAAAAAACAGATCAAGGAGGATGAAGTAGAGTGTTATTGCAATCATACGCCCTTTTCGACTCAGATCTTTAGTGTGTAAAGTTACCAGCCATCTTTTTGGGATAATGAGTCTCCTAGCTTGATGGCCACATTTCAAAGTGACAGGTCAGCACTCAGAACTAGACAACATGAAATTGGCTGCTTCCCGATGACTAGTCAACCACTTAACTTCCCTCACTCTTCTTTTCTATCCTGCTTCTATTCCGGTTGACATAACACGTTTGTAATGGTGAGATTCAGCATTCGTCTTTTGTAGTATGATTTAGCCTACCTAAGTACAGAGTGAGGTTTTACACCCATTACCTTTTTTGAGATATTACAATTAAATAGATGTTTGTCTGATGCGCCGCTGTAGAGGGGATCCTGGTTCGAAAGATTCTAAGACCAAATCTAACGCTTCCTTCACCATATAGATTCTTATGGCTACTTGAATATATGAAACATGAAAGGAAATATTTCTGACTTTTCGGGGATTGACGAAACTCCCAGGAGAGATTTGGTTGAGTACCTAGAATGTTCGTTAGGCTGATTCCTATGTAATTATTGCAAGAGGACTTCTCGCTTTTCTTGAAGACTGGAATAGTCAGTGATTGAGACCAGTCAGAGGGGGTTATATTTTATTTTTTATACACTGGTTAGTACTTCAGGTAACTTGACCAAAAGCAGTCTACCATCATCCTTATATACCTCAGGAATTAGTCCATCTTGTTCTACTGCCCTTCCTCATTTCAAGTTACCTACTGCTTTCTCGACTTGACTGGGCAGTTAGTATGATTATGATGAACGGATAGTTGTGTATTATGGCTTCAGATGGAGGCCTTAAAAAATATTTGGCAATGAAAAATGAAATTAAAATCTGAGCAGCAGTTGGGTTTCGTTCCCATCAGATAGATCATCGGACCAGTAACCGGTAGGCTATTGGTTCGAATCTTGTTGTAACCTATATTTTCATGTCAACCTCAGTCACCACTCCACTTGCATGTTTATCATAAAAACTTTTCAGAATGCTTATACCGATTGATGTAAAATGATATCTACTGATACGTTTTTATACTTTCAGTCTGTTGTTAATACCTGGAAAGATATTAAGATAGTCTCTGTGCCTAAGTCAAGGACTCCAGGCACATGTACAAGTTCCGCCGATTTCAGTTACCTCTGTCCTTAAAAATAGTGGAGAAGCTAATAATACCTGTACTTCAGCCCTCATTGAAGTCTTTCGGAGACCCTAATCAATTTGCATCTGAGAGCAGAAGAAGCACTTTGGATGCCACCACTATCTTATATCACAATGTTGCTTACAATCTTGGTAGAAATACCAAGTATGTCAGGTGTGGCTTTTAGACTATACTTCGGGATTTGATTCTGCCCCAAGACCTCTTTTACTGGACAAGGTAACCGAACAAATGCTAAGTCTTAGATGATTAGCTGGCTGCATTCCTATTTCTCTGGAAGGGAACAACATACTGTTCCCACTGAGAAGAACTCCACCTTATTGCTTACTGTAACTGATGTTCCCCAAGGAGCCACCCTTCCCTCTTGTCTTTTTTTCTTCCCGCATGACTTACCATCTTCAGTTGGTATCAATTTCATCAGATATTCTGATGAAGTATTTCCTCTCTACTGTTAGACAATGGTCCTCCGAGAATAGTCTTATGCTTAATTCTTCAAAATGTCAGACCGTAAACTTTAGGTTCAGATGTGAACATAACCTACGTAAACCGCTTAGTTCTCGTGATTTCTTTCAATTGATAGTTGCGCATTAGAGAATGTTACAAGTGTGTTTATCTCGGTGTGTGGTTTTCGTCGAACCTTTCCTGATCCTTCCATATCTTACTAATTTCTAAAAGAATTTCCCGCCCAACTTTCTATATTGGGAAGCTGAGAGTATCTGGTATAACTCAGCATCTTACCTGTTATCCTCGATTGTTCTCCTTTATTCTTTCCCGGATTGATGAAAAAAGACTATGATATATTGCGTAGAACTTTGAAGATTGTCAGCAGAACTAGTGGTATAAATCTAAACCTTCTAGTTAAAGCAGTTGTGGGCAAACATATTAACACTCAAGTAAACATCTGGTAGGAGTTATTTTATCAGATGACTTGCATCGTCGTAACTCAAAGCTCTCTGCTTGTCGGTCATCAGGAAAGACAAGGAGCGATTGCATACGACTTCATGCGCATACTAGTAAATGTAAAACTCTATTATTATTATTTGTCCCTTGGGTTCCTAGTGGAACAAAGCGCTTCACCAGCACATCTGAATTCCACTCTGTTCCCTGCAATCTTTTGAACCTGGCTCCACGACTGCCCACAAGCTCTCATTTATTCCTCACACGATCTCCTTCATGTCACCCTCAGCTAGAACGCCCAACTCGTCGTTTCCCATATGGGTTCCACTTTAGGGCGTGGCCTGGAGCGTGATGTCCCGAATGGTCTTCTCAGTGCATGAACAATCCATCTCCACTTCCTTCTGCATATTTGTTGAGTGATAGGTTGTTGGTTGGTTCGTTGGCAGGCGAGAGTTCCTTGTTGCTGATTCTTTCTGACCGTCCCCTGATCTTCAGTAACGAGCGTAGGCAGTTGTTGTTGAATGTCTGTAGTTTGTTGGAATGCCTTTCGTGACGCGCCAAGTCTCTCAGCCATCACATAGAAGCACTGACTTGACTGACTTAGTATTGAAAATCGGGATGTTGTTCACACTTTATGCTGAGTGCAGTGAAAGATCTCCCCACTGGTTTCAGATTAATGAACGCCTGTCTTGCTGTCTTTTCCGATCCTGACTTTGACGTCCTCATCTATGCCGCCTGTCTTTGAAACGATGCTACCTAGAGATAGGTGAAAGAGACTACTTGCTTTAGATTTCTCCCGTTGATGGTGATTGAAGCTTGTTGTTATTGGTGGTGGCATTGGTTGGGTATCATTATCACCTCTACCTCTGTCTTCTCTACATTCACTTGAAGTCCTGTCTTCGCTGCCTCTTCTGTCAACTTGTTAGTTTTCGCCTGGAGACCTTGGAGTTTGTGTAACATTAGACATAAGTCATAGGCGAAATACAAATCTGCTGGGATCTTTTCCCCTCCCCACCGTATCCCCCTCTTCTCACAGCTCCTCACAGTCTGTTGCATGATCCAGTCCACTACAATCAGAATATCATGGGTGACAGTAGACAGCCTTGTTTCCTTCCTGTCTTCACTTCCAAAGCATCAATGAGCTTCCCATTATGAATTACTTGGCATGTAGCATCTTTATATAGTTGTTGAATGGGGCTAATAAAGGTTTGTGGTATTCCGTAGTATTGAAGCAACTGCATGTCAAATTACTTGTCGGTCGACTCTGTCAAAGGCTTTTTCAAAGTTGATGAAGTTGAAGTAGAGAATGTAAAACTCTACAATATCATATTTAGCTCGTCTGCTGTGTGATGAAGAAAGTATTAGAAATAAACTAACTAATCAACTATTTTGAAAGTTAACTAATTGATGAGTATGTATGATGTTACTATTTTTGTATTATGAATCTAATTGGTAATATGATTGTTTACCTAAATTAAGTATACATTTTAATGAAATTAATTGTTAGAGAGAGTATTCTTATCTTGTATGTATGTAATTTCTACTCAGTTCATTTTGCTTCGTATTCATATATACTGTCTCTGTCAAATTGATGCTTTAAGATGTGCTGACAATTATGTAGAGTATTCTTGAAATAGCTTTCAGAATAAAGTCATTATTATTCAGCGAAGAAATTTTCTTTTTCGACGATATCATTTTCTAAAGCTGTACAAT